TGCATCCCTAACTCTTCGTCATCGACCCTTCCCCTTCGTCTCATATATTTGTAGACAATTGCAGATATGTCCACGGTGATGTGAAACCCGAGAATTTCTTGCTAGGACCCCCTGGAACTCCTGAAGAGAAAAAACTGTTTCTCGTCGACCTTGGCTTAGGTAATTAGTTTTACTTGCTCATCAAGTTACCAACATCGCGACAATCCTGTGTATTCAGCTATTCTTTTGGTTGGTGATACGTTTAGGAGTCTGAATTAATCAGGTGTTTTTCATTAATGTTTTTCATTAATGACAGCTACTAAGTGGAAGGATAGATCGACAGGCCATCATGTTGAGTATGACCAGCGACCTGATATTTTCAGGTGACTAGATGACTCCTTTATGATACCTGACATGCATCATTTACATTGTGGCTAACACTTTCTGAATGTTGAATATTCTGTGGTATTTCCTCTATGCGCTCTGTTTCCTGCTTTTCGAGATGTCCATCAACTCAGCTGTTACACCAGAAGCCGTCCTTTTTTTTTTCTGTTACTGGCCAGCCATTTTTGTACTGTCCGTTTGTAATGTTTCCTCATTTGTCATTCTCATATCTTGCGAAACCACTATTTTTTATGTTCTTAACATCGCCATATATACCAGATGCGAGTTGGTACCATTAAACAGATCCTGACTAGCACACTCCCTCTGTTCGGGTATCTTTAAGCTGCTCAGATTTTTTTAGATTTTTTAGATTTGTTAGGCCGGTAGATTACCTCTGGTAATTAAATGCTGCATGCAAGCTGTTGCTACTACACCATGCAGGCATGCAGCCAATGGTGAATGAGTGAGCCAGTTATTTGCGGAGCCGTGGTTATTTAGAGCAAGTATAATAGGTTCTAGTCAGCAGGCTTGCTCCATGTCAGCAAAATCCCATGTGGAGTGAGAAGGGAAGAGGGAGAACGAAGCAGGCGCTGCGCTACTTCTACAGCCGTCTGCTGCATAGGAAACGAGAAAAAGGCACCACATGCAGCTGGTGTGAGAGCTTTTGGCTAGCGTTTCTTCCTCCCAATCATGTGATGCAATGCTATTGTACATCCATCCTATTATATGAGTCTACTTTTGTGAAGGCTTCAAGTGACATGGCACAATCATAGAGCCAGCAGCAGGCTTTTCTATTAGCCATGCTCTTACCATGCAGGTGTTGCGCGTGTTCTCGTGCAGCTAATTGGGTGCGCGCGTGTGACAGATACCTGAACGGTGGGAGTCTGTTGATAGCTGCCCGTTCTGACTAGGAAATACAGCCCATTTTTTGTCAAATCATTAAGATGTCAAATTTAACCTCATGTAATAGTAATTAGTAGACCTGCCGTGCCTCTGTGCATCTCTGGTCATTGTTTTTACTAGCCATGGACAGGGGTACGTGGAAGCTAGCTATCCATGTGCCAGAACCGTGAGTTGGTTGCGAGATCTTATGGGTTTCAGCTCTAGCCTACCCCAACTTGTTTGGGACTAAAGGTTTTGTTGTTGTTGTAATAGTAATTAGTAGACCTGCTGTGCCCCTTTGCATCTCAGGCTTGCTTGCACACATAGCTAGATCATTTGAACGTCTATACTGGTCTTATTGTTTTATTATGGCTGTTGTTTCAGGGGAACAGTTCGTTATGCTAGTGTTCATGCACATCTTGGGAGGATAGGCAGCAGGAGGGATGATTTAGAATCTCTAGCTTATACACTAGTCTTTCTTCTACGGGGACGTCTACCTTGGCAAGGCTACCAGGTAATTTGTGGGACTCACCTTTCCAGTTATGTTGATTCTAGTGATGTATACATGTAAACTGGTAATTGCTTTTGCCTGCAGGGTGAAAACAAGGGTTTTCTTGTTTGCAAAAAGAAAATGTGCACCTCTCCTGAATCTCTCTGTAGCTTCTGCCCTCAGCCCTTTAAGGAGTTTGTAGAATATGTGGTCAACTTGAAGTTTGATGAAGAACCCAACTATGCCAAGTGTATCTCCCTTTTTGATAGTATAGTGGGCCCAAATCCAGATATCAGGCCAATTAACACAGATGGTGCTCAGAAGGTAGTCTTATTTTGTAGTTTGCTATTTGAAAACATTGCTTCAGTTCTTCTAATCTCTCTTGCAACTTCTATATAGCTTATACACCAAGTTGGCCAAAAGAGAGGGCGTATATCGTTGGAAGGAGAGACAGATGAGCAACCAAAGAAGAAGATCAGGATGGGAATGCCTGCAACACAGTGGATAAGTGTTTATAATGCAAGGCGGCCTATGAAACAAAGGTACCATCTCTTATAAGGCCCAATATTTTGACTCTGGTTAACAGCATGGTGCACCTTTTTTTTTGGTTGAGCAACTGTACATATACACTGTCAACATAACTGTTCTGGATGTTGCAGGTACCACTACAATGTTGCAGATTCAAGGCTTGTACAACACATTGACAAAGGGAATGAAGATGGACTGTTTATTAGTTGCATATCATCTTGTGCGAATCTGTGGGCACTAATCATGGATGCTGGCACTGGGTTCTCTTCTCAAGTTTATGAACTTTCACCACATTTCCTTCACAAAGTTAGTAACCTGCATTGTGTTTCTTTCATGGCAAAACAAGCACTTAACCTTTTGAAGCAAGATTACATATATAATCTGTTTTGACATTACCTATTTATATGTCATGATTTCTGGTTATTTGAAGGAATGGATAATGGACCAATGGGATAGGAACTACTATATAACTGCACTTGCTGGAGCAAACAATGGGAGTTCCCTGGTAGTGATGTCTAAAGGTAACAAGCTGGCAGTTTAATGCCCTTTCTGTCTTACAATAGAAATATCATTTTGACTATCTGGCTTGTCCATCCAGGAACACTGTATACTCAGCAGTCCTACAAAGTAAGTGATACCTTTCCCTTCAAGTGGATAAACAAGAAATGGCGTGATGGTTTCTATGTGACTTCCATGGCAACTGCTGGGAATAAATGGGCGATTGTTATGTCCCGCAATGCAGGGTTTTCGGAACAGGTATCATCATTTGCACTGGTGGTGTTTGTTTACTTCGACACTGCCAAGCTAAGTTCAGTTATTTTGTTTATTTTGCATTCCTTGTTTGTCATGCATTTATTTTCCAGGTTGTTGAGCTGGACTTCTTGTACCCTAGTGAGGGAGTCCATAAGAGGTGGGATAGTGGTTACCGAATAACAGCAGTTGCTGCGACTTGGGATCAGACTGCATTGATCTTAAGTGTACCAAGAAGGAAGCCTACTGATGAAACTCAAGAGACACTGAGAACATCTGCTTTCCCCAGTCAGCATGTGAAGGTCCACACTTGCACTACTTAATGATAACGTCTGTAATTCTTATCTTGTGAAATTCTTGTGACAAATTGTGCCCTTGTGTCATTGCAGGAGAAATGGTCCAAGAATCTCTACCTTGCTTCAGTATGTTATGGGCGTACCGTATCGTAGAAATCCTTTGCCATGAGAGCTGAAGCGTGAGTTAACCTCATCTTTTTGATCCAGCTCAGCAGTAGTTTTCTGTTTGTGGGCAAGTTGTGAATGCGGCCTAGTGTGTTCTTGTGAAGATGTTTCTGCCTGTCGCTGTTAATTATAGAAAAATAGTGTGTACAGTAGTAAATGTTTTGTAGTCGTGTTAATCCTTTCTGTAGCGGACGACTCTTCACTCTAGTGTAAGGTGATACTTAGATGTGTAAACACCTGACTTAATGTTTTGTGCTCCTGTGTGGTCGCGTGAGAGCCCCAACGAGGTTCTCGCTTCCTACCCTATCCTTTGGGTGCTAAATAATAGAGGATAATTGGTCTGATGCCAACATTTGGCATTGCCAATACTTGGCAAGCCAACAATTGGCAATATCAAAAGTTGCCAAAAATTGGTAACTTCTTGTGAGGTTGGCAAGTAAACTTGGTAACCAATCAAGCACTAGCCACTATTTGGCATGCTAATTTTTGGCATCAAACCAACATGCTCATATTCTCACCCAAACTGACACGCTGGTTCCATTTCCACAAGTCGAGCTGAACTTGAAGTAAAGAGCTGCATTTTCAGGGCAACATGTCCTGCTGCAGCCTCTCAAGACCAAATGGTACACAAGCATGATAGGAGAAAGTGGTAAAGGAGGGCAGAAATGACAAATTTGACGGTAAAAAAGAATTCATAAAATGAACTGTTTTTAAAAAAAATTCGCTCCGCTGACCTTTTCGTGTAGCGTCCGACAACTAGGCGCCACACTATACTATGCGGCGCCTGACTGAAAGGCGCTACATACCTTGCAAGCATCGCACCTCGGGCAGTTTGAAAATTACTAAGTCAGTGTGCAACGCCTGAGAGCTAGGCGCCACACTATACAGTGCAGCGCCTAGCCTCTAGGCGTTGCACTAGTGGCCACTAGTGATTTCCCCCGCATGCATGTGTCCGAGCCGCCGGTGTTGACTAATCGCCCCCGCTTCTGCATGGCTTGGTAATCAATGGATCTGGTCAGTCAAACGCCCGCTGGATCGTGTGGTTGACGTTCCCGCACGTACGTAAGGCCGGCCGGGGTGCATGGTGATTTCTCCGATGCAAGCGCGCTCACATGCATGTGTCCGACCCACCCGTGTTGGTTAATCGGCCTCCGCTTTTGCATGGCCTGGCGGTCAATCGATCGGTGCAATCAAAGGTCCACTGGACTATGGAGCAGTGTACATGTGATGAGGCGTAGGCACATGCATGCAACTGTTGCGAAAGGCCCATCCCTGAACGTGTAGGTGGTACATGCAACGCCTAAATGCTAGGCGTTACACTGTATAGTGTGACGCCTAGCTTTTAGGCGTTGCACACTAACTTAGCAATTTTCAGGCAGTCCGAGGTGCGACGCTTGTTAGGTGTGTAGCGCCTTACGTTCAGACGATGCACAGTGCAGTGTGGCGCCTGGCTGTCGGGCGCTACATGATAGGGTCGGAGGTGTGAAATTTTTTTAAGGACAGTTTATTTCATGAATTAATTTCGGTCACATGTCAAATTTGTTGTTTTTGCCGTAAAGGAGTACAAGGCAAGCTGCTACAATGATCTGCACATTCAACTGAATGATCTTCCCGGCATCCGCGTCCGGGGGCTCGTTCTCCATGCCAGCCGAAGAGCAGGAGTGGAGGTACTCCGCCGAGATGACGACATCACAGCCGCGGTCTGCTCCGAGATCGTCGTTGCTGTAAGCCGGTTTCCCGGCCACGCTCTTGTAGAGTCCACTGCTCCATGCCTGCATACGTGGAGCGCGAAGCAGGTAAACCGTAAGACAATGTATGATTGTGATGATGCAGCGTGCATTTGCAAGGTCAGTCGGTTTTCGTCTCAAAAAAAGGTCACGCTCAAGATTGGTGCGTCACCTGAAGCTGGTCTCCGACGGTGACCACGACGGCGCCGCCGAGGGGGCGGAACCTGGACCATCCCCGCTGCCGGGAGAAGACGTGGAACGTGGAGGCGCCGGGGCAGAGGTGGAGAGCGAGAGCCCGTGGGCGGCGTGAGCTCTTGATCAGCATCCTGAGCATGTCGTCCTCGCTGATAGTGATGGGGCCAACAGAGCCGCTGCCGCCATCGCACTGCCGGCGGTGGTGCGTGCGGATGCAGAGTTGCGAGCGGTTCGTGTCAGCTCCGGCCAGGGAATCGGTGGCGCCAACGCTGTCCCGCCGCAGGGCGTCCATGAGTTTGGCTGCGGTTTGCTCCAGCTGGGTGAACAGATCGTCTGCTCCCTTCCTGGACACAGCAAAACCAGGGGTTAGCATCATATAGAGTCCTTTGATTAGTTGCCTTCCAATGAAATGGGCAAGTTGGCACCTCAACTGGTCTCCTTCGCTCGGTGACCACCACAGCTCCTCACCATCTTCTCCACCGGCCTCCTCCGGCGTAGGCGAACTCGCCCTCCCCGCCGCAGCTGAGACCAAGCACTCATTGACCCCATGCCCAACCACCTGGAAGCAGCCAAGCGCGACGGCCGCCGACCTCAGAGCCTCCACCGCCGGCCCACCCAGCGAGGCCAGCAGGCGCATGTCGATGACTGGGGGAGCCCAGACCGCCTTATCACTCTTCTTCTTCTTCTTCCGTGGGATGGCCCTCTCGGGCAGCCGCAGCACCAGGACCCTGGCGGAGCGACGCAGGAACCTGCCGACCTCGTCATCTTCGTTGCCGTCGGGGCACTCGCCGTACTCAGGGGATCCAGAGCCACCGTTGGATAGAACGCCGGTGACCGGAGACGGGGGCGGCGCCCGGAACCCCAGCACCCGGAGCTCTCTAGGCGTCTCGAGGTAGGTAGCGAAGGACGCAGCAGCCATGGCAACGGTGGTCAATCGATGTATGTATGCTTATTGGATTAGTTCCGGCTGCTCGAACTTACACGTATGGTTGTCCATGCCATGGGGAGAGACACTGCGCCATGTTTGTACAGGTGCTCGGGAGATTATTTGTAGGCGCCCAGCTTGAGCCCTTCCCTTGTTGTAGGGACAGAGTGTGAAGCTTCCTTTTCTTTGTGGCAGAGATGAGAAACCAGATTGCCAGCTCCAAAGAGAAGGTGGTGCAATGATGCTAGGTACGTACATCATTGTGTCAGACGAGCCATACTAGGGAACAGTCTGTGCTGTGTGTTGTGTACTGTCTCAATATCCTTCCGCGTTCTGTTAAAGATGTTCCTCGGACGACAAAGTGCTTTGCTCTCTTTCAACTGCTTTAAATGAAGGCCTGCTCAGCGTCCTGTCGCTCCATGACGTTTCAGTCAGGTTCTTTATTCGCTAGCTTTCGGTGTGTTGTGCTAAGAAAACACGCAATTTTTCGACTAATTTAATTCATAAGTAGATAACTAGCATGGCATTGATAGAACTAACAACATACTGGTACTGATCTAAACAAGCACGTACTACGCAAATAGTAGACAAATCTACACACGATGCTAGCACTGCTAATACAGAAATTATCAGGAGAGGGATAAACGCGGTATACCCTCCAGTAGGCCATGCAGAAGCCGCCGCTGCGGTGGCAGCAGCAGAAGCGTCCTCGGCGGCCTTCTTGCCGGCCTCGGTCTTCTCGGCGGCGGCGCGTTCGGCGTCGCTGGACATGGTGATGACGGAGACGACGCGGACGTAGAGGAAGTAGTGGATCGGAGGCGAGCAGTCGCGTAGTCGCTTTCCAAAAACCTATTCGTCTCTCTCCCGTACAGGAACTAGAGAGACGGAGTTTCGGAGACCCGCTCTCCCATCGACCGTGTACGCGGCGGACGGGATGGAGTCACCGGCGACAGCAACAACAAAGGAACGACGGTGGGCGATTCGCGTGGAGCAGATGTGATCTGGTCATGGCGGCTAGGGTTAGGGGACACCACACACTTATATAGACGTAGCCGCGTGGAGAGACGTGGGCTTGACCCACGTCCGAGTCCGTGACAGCCCATGATCCGACGTCTCAGATCGTGGCCCTGCTGTCAGAACCTCTCTGTAAGTGACTGGCAAAAATAAGCGCATAGGTGTGAGCTCAGCTCGGCTCATTCCCGCAACCCGCGACGCGTCGTGATGAGGCGAGGCGAGGCGGGCGGCGGAGGAGGAGCGCGCGAGGGCCTCTTCTCTTCTCAAGCTCCAATAGCATGTAGAAGAGTCACCCTTATAAACCACTCCAACTTTCCTTTCATTAGCATGGTGGGACTAAATTTTCCACCACCTTGTCATGCCACCTACATGGGCCCTTAGAGATCAAATCTGAAATTGTTATATGGGCTCTAGGCCCATCTCACATTTCAACAATCCCCCACCAGATCTCAGGGGCCCACTTTGTCCTTTGTTCCAAACGCTGTTTTGATATACTAGTGTTTCAGTGAAGACCTATTAAGGTTGAGCTTCACCTAGAGCAAGTAGCTACACTCCTTCACAATTGAACAATGGACTAGGCCTTGAATTGTCAGTTTGGTGTAAAGAAGTTTCACCACATGTCTTACTAGTACTGGGCTGCCGAAGGCTGACCCCTCGGGTGGAGCATATAGGTCACACTCCTGGCCTATTCATGAGCTTACTAGAGATCACTCCAATCTCATAGACTGTGACTAGCAGTCGGACTCACATAGGTGTGTTGCTCCAAAGATCGCTCTGTAGGATAGAATCTTGCTTATACGTATAAGCCTTGGAACACATTAAGACAGTAGTCATCCTTCCATACAGTTTCTGAGAGTATTGCATCTCCAACGGAGTGGGTTAGTAAAGTTACTCTCCTCAGTTCACCACTGGCTTGTTTTCCCAGGTCCTACTTCACGGGATCTCCGATCACATAGGTTGGGTTATCACCATGGCAACTCATGTGGGTCTCATACCCATCTCCCTCGATGCACTATCTATCACTATACGCGATAGCCCTTTCGTAAAGGGATCTGCCAGATTCTTAGCCGTATGGACATAGTCCAACGCTATCACTCCGGAGTTTCTTAATTTTCTGACAGCTTTTAATCTCATTTTTATGTGTTTGTTGGACTTCGTGTTGTCCTTTGAACTCTTCACCTTGGTGATGACAGTCTGATTATCACAGTTCATAAGGATAGCCGGAACCGGTTTATCAACCAATGGCAAGTCCATCAAAAGATCTCGAAGCCATCCTGCTTCAACACCAGAAGTGTCTAATGCTGTTAATTCTGCTTCCATTGTCGATCTCGTTAAGATCGTTTGCTTGCAAGACTTCCAGGAAACAGCGCCACCTCCAAGAGTAAACATATACCCAGTTGTGGCCTTCATCTCATCAACATCAGAGATCCAATTCGCATCACTATACCCTTCAAGTACCGACGGGTCTCCGGTATAGTGAAGTCCATAGTTCATAGTACCTTTCAGATAGCGCATAACTCTTTCAACAGCATGCCAATGTACATCACCCGGTTTGGAAACGAACCGGCTCAGTTTGCTCACAGCAAACGCGATGTCAGGCCTCGTTGCGCTCGCTAGGTACATCAATGAACCAATGATTTGAGAGTATCTCAATTGATCTTTAGCCATGCTTTTAGACTTTCGAATCAACACGCTAGGATCATATGGTGTTTGAGATGGTGTGCAGTCCGAATATCCAAAACGGCTCAACACCTTCTCAACATAATGGGATTGCAGAAGTGTGATCCCACCCTCATTATCTCTCAGTAGCTTGATGTTCAAGATAACATCAGCCACACCAAGGTCTTTCATCTCAAAGTTCTGAGATAGAAACGATTTGACCTCCTCAATGACTTTGAGGTTTGTTCCGAATATCAGTATGTCATCAACATACAAGCACAGTATAACTCCTTCGTCCCCACCATGGCGATAGTATACACATTTGTCAGCCTCATTAACAACGAAACCAACAAATGTCAGAGTTGTATTGAACTTATCATGCCATTGCTTAGGTGCTTGATTCAGGCCATATAAAGATTTCAGCAACTTACACACCTTCCTTTCCTGACCATCTATCACAAAGCCATCTGGCTGTTGCATGTAGATTTCCTCATTTAGCTCTCCATTCAGAAAAGCCGTCTTAACATCCATTTGATGGACGAGAAGACCATGTGAGGCCGCCAACGAGAGTAATACTCGAATGGTTGTCAGTCTAGCCACAGGTGAATAAGTATCGAAGAAATATTCCTCTTCTTTCTAGTCATAGCCCTTGGCCACAAGCCTAGCCTTGTATTTTTCAATCGTACCATCGGGCCTAAGCTTTTTCTTGAACACCCACTTACATCCCAATGGTTTGCAACCATAGGACGCTCAGTGATCTCCCATGTCCCGTTAGCCATGATGGAATCCATCTCGCTACGGACCACATCCTTCCAGTAGTCAGCTTCTGGAGAGGCAAACGCTTCTGAGATAGAAGTGGGAGTATCATCCACGAGGTACACGAAGAAATCATCGCCAAAGGTCTTTGCAGTCTTTGTCTCTTGCCCCTCCCAAGGGTTTCCTCGCCATCCTCCTCAGGATTTTTATCATGTGTTCGTTCATAATATTTCATAGGAATGGCAGGCTCAGGAGTCTCCTCAGATTCCTGTCTAGAAGTGCTTTGCATATCTCTCATAGGAAAAATATAAAGAATGTAGCATCCTTAGACTCCATAATTGTACCGACCTTCTGGTCAGGTACCTCAGATTTCACTACTAGAAATCTATAGCCAACGCTGTTCTTAGCGTAGCCCAAATTAACGCAGTCCACAGTCTTGGGTCCAAGCTTACGCTTTTTAGGGATCGGCACGTTGACTTTCACCAAACAGCCCCAAGTACGCAAGTACGAGAGTGTTGTCCTTCTCTTTGCTCATTTCTCATAGGGAGTGATCTCATTATCCTTTGTCGAAACTTTGTTCAGGACATGACATGCCGTCAAGATAGCCTCCCCCCACCATGCCTTGGATAAACCCGATGTATCTAACATGGCGTTAACCAGATTAGTTAGAGTACGGTTTTTCCGCTCGGCAACCCCGTTTGACTGGGGAGAATAGGGAGGCGTCCTCTCATGAATAATGCCATGTTCGGCACAGAAGGAACCAAACTCACTCGAGAAGTACTCTCCACCATGATCTGATCGGACTCGTTTAATTTTCTTTTCAAGTTGATTCTCAACTTCTGCCTTATAGATTTTAAAGTAGTGTAGAGCCTCATCTTTAGTATTTAACATATATACATAGCAATATCTAGTGGAATCATCTATCAATGTCATGAAGTACTTCTTTCCACCTTTAGTCAACACGCCATTCATCTCACAAAGATCAGAATGTATGAGTTCCAACGGTGCCAAGTGTCTCTCCTCCACAGCCTTGTGAGGCTGGCGAGGTTGCTTAGCTTGCACACATGATAGGCACTTAGAACCTTTGGCTAAAGTGAAACTTGGGATTAAATACAATTTAGCTAGCCGCGTCATAACACCGAAACTTATGTGACAAAGACGTGAATGCCAAACCTCAGATTCATTAACAGTCGAATGAATATGGTTCACGACTTTATTACAGAAATCTGCGAGGGAAAGGCGGAACATCCCTCCGCTCTCATAACCTTTTCCAACAAATAGTCCATACTTAGTAACAACTAATTTATTAGACTCGAATACCAACTTAAACCCTTCTCTACATAGAAGGGAGCCACTAACTAGGTGCTTCTTGATGGCGGGGACATGCTGCATGTTCTTCAGCTGCACGATCCTTCCCGAAGTAAACTTCAGATCGATCGTGCCAACACCATGAACAGAAGCACTCGCGCCATTCCCCATCAATACGGATCCGTGGCCTGTGACCTGGTAAGAAGAGAACAATGAAATGTCAGCACACACATGAACACCTGCACCTGTATCCACCC